AACAATAACAAACAAAAATAATAGTCCAATAGCATATATAAAAAAATCGTTCGTAGTGTCCCTGTAGTGTGTTGGACTCCTCAACCAAAGGTCGTGGGTTCGAATCCCACCTGGGATGGTCCAGTTTCTGAGAATGAGATTTCTTTTTTACTCTACTGTTTTATTGGAATAATTAAGTTTAATTAATGAATAAATAGTAACAAACACAAATAAAAGTCCAACACTATATATAGAAAGGAAAATTGCTTTCTATTTTGCCTTTTGATATTGTGATTCTGTCCTATGTATCTACATGTTTATATTAATTGTAATTATTTAATAAGAAGTAACTCTAAAAAAAGTTTTTCTTTGTTGACCTAAGCAGGAATTGACTTAATTTTTTTATATTACTTGTTTAATGAAATATAAAAAAAAGAAATTAAAAAAAAATCAATATTCTAGGAAAATATCATTCCTATTATTTATTGATTTTTTTTTTAATATATTTACAGAATAAAAAGAAACACGTGCCTCAAAATCTCCTTTCTGAATTTTCACCGTAGAAAAAAAAAATACATCATTGAATATCATCACACCTTATTATTTCCAGCAGCATGTCAAAATATGCTAAATTCATACCTACGCCACATACATTATACTTTTTTTTTCCTTTTTAAATATTAGTCATCCATGGGTTGTCAAATTACATCAATTACGTACATGAGGTATTAGTTGCGCTACTCAACAAGCCTTTTAGCAAAAATGAAACCAAAAACCGATCAACTTGTTCAATTTGCAATGTAAATGTCCAAAACGTTTGACAGAAGGCGTTTGAAAATGGCGAATTCGAAAACCCTCTGACATTTTTGGTGGAAACGCGTTTCCGTACACTGTTCTCGATACCACTGGACATCGGAGCCAAGATTCGAAGAAAATGCCGGCGGCCTCAAGTTCGTGTTAATGCCCCCTTTCGTGCCATTCTTCAAGAAGAACATTCGAAAAACAATTTTTATTTCTCTTCGCTACAGACCTGCAAAACTGGTTTGGTGTTTTGTGGCGAACAGAAAGCTTCGAATAAACTTCATGTGGATTTTTTTATTGATATTAAAATCCATAAATGAAAACCGAATCTTGAAAAAGCTGTGGTAATAAGTTTTAGAGCTAATGTCGTTATATTTAATTGCTTTTCGAACGTATTATGTAAAGGTAAATGAACTACAGACAGATTTTTTTTATATTGTCAAAGCGCATCAATTTTTTTGGTTTTGTGTACTTAGTGAACTTGGAAAAAATATTTATAAAGCCTGGAGAATATATCCCAGATGAAGTACTAATTCTGACAAAAAAAAAAGATCTTAAGTAAATTTTTAGTTATTATATTATTACTTAAAAAAACATTTCTGGGGACTATTTTGTTCTTGAAATGAATTATATACACAAAAATGAATTTGAAAATAATAAGTAATTTATATAATTTTTAATATATACTGACCTATACGTAGTTACTGCCTGAAGTATAATGAGTCAATTACAAATATTTTATACACTAAATAGCAATTTCAAATGAATTTCTCAAATTTTTATTAGTAAAATAATAATGATCAAAACTAAAAAATTTCATTAGTACACAGTGTCAGTGGCGCACACAAGGGGGGTCCTAAGGGTCCGGACTCCCCCCCTTATAGCCCTCGATTCTTTTTTTTTTCTGATTGGTTGTAATTCTAGGTATATATTACGTAAAATTTTATTATGTATTTGCTATTAATAATTAATTTTATTAATAAATGCTAATTATTTATTTAATAATAAATTTTGTATTGTTTTTGTTCCCAAAAATCGACAGAATCAAAAGAATATGTTGGGCGGCGTATTGGAGCATAATACCAAAATGATGGACTTTCGACCCTGGACCCAGACCCTCTTGAAAAATTTTTGTGTGCGCTATTGCACAGTGTATTTTATATATGATGAAATAAATATATTTTGGTGAATTCTAACTTTTATTTGGAATTTTATTTGTCGTCTTACTCTAAAGGCTTACTCTAAAGCCTGCATCGATAGGTTTAATCCCTTAACTGCCGATTAAGGTATCCGACTACGTTCGGAACCGTGACTTTAAAAAAGCGCATGAATCGATAATTTTCAAGCTATTTAGTGTCACTTAGATTGGAATACATGTATAAAATTGTTTTAAGGACATTTTGACAAAAAATTTTATTTAAATGCAATATTTCGGCAAAAAATTAACTTAGAATAATTTTTTTTCCAAATGTTCTCCTTTTGTGAAAAATGCTTCTATTATAATAATATTTTGCCTACAGATAGCTCAGACCTCTGTACAGAGGCTCAACTAGAATTTTTAAAATATATACCTTAGAAGTGGGTTTATCCATATTTTACGACAACAGAGGGGAGCAATTTTAAGAAAAAAACATCAATAATTATTTAAGTTGGTGGTAACTCTGAAAATTATGTGATTTTTCAAAATTTCTTGTTGAGCCTCTGTGGAGAGGTCTGAGCTATATACAGGCAAAATATTATTATAATAGAATCATTTTTCATAAATACAGAACATTTTGAAAAAAGATTATTCTAAGTTAATTTTTTGCCAAAATATTGTATTTAAACAATTTTTTTTTGTCAAAATGTCCTTAAAACAATTTTATGTATGTATTCTAATCTAAGTGACACTAAATATCATGACAATTATCCATTTATGCACTTCTTTAAAATCACGTTTCCGAACGTAGTCGGATACCTTAAAATTACACAATTCGCTCCCAATGCCACCGTTTTTCCAATAGGAGCGCGTATGTGGTGTATCGGGAATAAAGAAAAGGCACAAATAAACAGAGTTTTCTCTGATCAAAGTAAATTCTTCTTAAACACCGTTAATGTAATTTTAAGGCATTCCAAATCATTCTGAATTGTTTTACTGATAGCAACGCGAAGAAAAGAATCGCGCTTTTCGAAAAGACATATATAAGTCCGGGGCACTTAACGCACCGATTAAGTGAGATGGATATATACGTCGTGGGATACGCCCAGTCAAGGGGTTGATGTGTATCCACTCATGACGAGACAAAATTGCACAATTAATCGCGCTTGTTATTCAACAGAAATAAAAGCCCTTGCAAATTCATGACTATGACCACTAAGCTGATGGAGCCACGTGAAAAGCGAGAAAAGAACGCTTTGAGAACTTATAGCATTTTCAAATTAAGAGAAATTTTGGTTTAATCTTCAATAATAATGTTCGTCATTTTTACTTCGAGAGATGCACTATTTTGAAATTTATTGAATTATTTGTAACAATCCTGGTATTTTGAAGTGCATAAAAGTTTTTAAAAGGGATTCTTTCTTAGCTGAGAAAAAAAGAGAAGAAAATATTTTAAAAATAAATAGTTATCCATTTGAACTATAAAAACACTTTTCCTTGCTTCACTGACTCGTTAAGATTTAGATTATTATTCTTCCATTACGTCTTCAGTTAAAATAAATCTTAATATTCCCCTTGGCATAATGCTCAACAAGTAATGGTTTTTGCTTAAGCCCGTTTTTCGACATAAAACGAATGCTTGAATGCCATATATTTTTTCTGGCTTACTTATTCCCATGGTAATGTTACAAATGTAAAAACTTTCAAAATGTTTCCTTCTTAACCCTTCATGTGAGATAAACGTTGAATTCACATGAGAAAGTTTGACATTGTTTTTTTTTTACACTAATGGCGCGTTTTCTCCTCAGTCGTGATGTTCGGGGTTGTGCTCAGAGGTAAAAAAATGAATGTAACTTTCACAAAACGCCTATTTTAAAGAAATCATCCACAGTAATATACATTCATGAATGCTTGTCCCGATATAACTAAAATTTTTAAAAAATACTAGTTTTTGTAGATATGTCAACAAGAAATAATGTTTAAAAAAATTTTTAAACTAAATTTCTTTAGACAAATTTAAGTATCTTAATGGCATTGAAAAAATACACTCTGTGTGTGTGTGTGTGCGTGTGTGTGTGCGTGAGTGCGTGCGTGCGGGAGAAGAGAGCGTGTAACATGTTCTCACTCTTTTTGACATATTTAAATAATGTTAGAATTTTTTAGAGAATAAAGTTTATTTGAAGATATAGCTAATATGTAGAGGTAAATCTAACAAAGTGAAATCTAAAGAATATTTCTCTTAACGTGATGCACACTACGTTCAGTAAGTGATTAAGTTTTTGACATTAATGTCAATTGAATTTGCATATACATATTAAATTGTATTAGATGAATTGCAAGATAAAATTATTTAAGACTAATTTTAAGAGACTAATTTACATTTAAAAACATTCTTCTTTATGAAGAAAAGCTGTTATTATACTAATTTTTGCCTATATATAACTAGGACTTCTATACAGGGACTGTATCGGGATTTCTGAAAAATTCACTTAACTTTTAGAGTTACGATCAGTTAAAATAAAATGGGGTGTTTTTTGTTAAAATATCTCTAATATCTGATGTTTTAAAATAAGAATAAATCCCCTTCTAAATAATGTATTTCAAAAATTCTAGTTCGGGATTTGTGTACAGAAGTCTTAGCTATATATGAAAAAAATTGTTTTTGTATAGAAGTATTTTTCATGAAAAGAGAATGTTTTGAAAACATGTCATTTATTCTCCATTTTTCCCCAAAAGTTTTTATTTTGATAATTTATTTTCTTGTTATATAAACTTAAAACAATTTTATATGTGTATTTTATTTCAAGTGACATTCTCAATATCAAACAAACAAAATATATATATTAAAAAAATTAAGTCAATTCTCCAACTGAGGTCAACAAAGAAAAAAAATTTTTAGTAACTTTTTTTTTTTTATTAAATAATTACAATTATATAATATAAATATGTATATACATATGACAAAGTCACAATATTAAGAGGCAAAATAGAAAGCAATTTTATTTTCTATTTATGGTGTTGGAAAATTACTTTTGTTTGTGTTATTATTTATAGTCATAAATCACATTCTCAGGAATTAGGCCATCCTTGATAGAATTCGAACCTATGCTCTTTGGATGAGAAGTCCAATGCGCTATCCATTGCGCTACAGAGACACAACAAGAGAAATTCCTTTTTATATATGATGTTGGACTGTTATTTTTTGATTGTTACTATTTATTCAATAATTCAATTTAGTTAATGAATTAATGTTTAAAAAAATTGTATTAACATCAAGTGTCATCCCTACAAGTTTAAAAAATGTATTTGTGTGTGTGAAATTGAGTGGATGAACAAAAAATACTTTATTAACGATTAAAAATTTGAGAAAAAAAATATATATAAATATAGGGAGAGTGTGAATTGAAAACAGAGAGAGGTTTTCATTTATATGCTTTTGTTTAATCACGTTTCGAAAGTGTAGGGACCTTAAAACAGAAAAACAAAAAGAAATTTTAAATTTTGCTAACATGAGTATTTTATAACCATACTTTTATAAAAAATCTTATTTTAATCTTTTGAGTTAATACATGGAGATAACCATGAACTATTTCAATTCTATAAATATGAGAGTTATGAGATTTTTAAATATTTTAATTATTACTGTGTAAGACTATTATCTCAGAAACAAAACTCAAAACGTTTATCAAAACCTACGAGGAATCAAAGTTCGCTTAAAATTCTTATAATGCTAAACATTTAACAGTAAATAAAGCCGTAATATATTTTGCAAAAAAAATCTCAATTTATTAAAGTATCCGACTATGTTCGGAAACTTTTTTCTAAAAGAGTATAAATGGATAATATTTATGATATTTAGTGATTTTTTAAGGATATTATTACAATAAAAATTATTTAAGTACAATATTTTGACAAAAAATGAACATAGAATGACCTATATTCAAAACATTCTCCTTTTATGAAAAATGCTTCTATGATAATAATATTTTGCTTGTATATAGTTCAAACCTCTGTACAGAGGCTGAACTAGAATTTTTAAAATATGTAACTTAGAAGTGGATTTATTCATATTTTACAACAACAAAGGGGAGAAATTTTAAGAAAAAAACGCCGATAATTATTTTAATTGGTTGTAACTCTGCAAATAATGTGAATTTTTCAAAAATCCTAGTTGAGCCTCTGTACAGTGGTTGGAGCTATATACAGGCAAAATATTATTACAATAGAAGCATTTTTGACAAAAGGAGAACATTTTGAAAAAAAGGTTATTCTAAGTTAATTTTTTGTCATAATGTGTCCATAAAACAATTTTATACATGTATTTTAATCTAAGTGACACTAAATATCATGAAAATTATCCATTTATGCGCTTTTTTAAAATCACAGTTCCGAACGTAGTCGGATACCTTAAGGTTTATTTATATAACAATTTTTGTTGAGTCGCATGATATTCCTTTTTTCAGCCATTAAATGAATTAAAGTGATGATTTTTTTCTCAAAACATTGTGGTAATTTCTTCAGGCTTCATTATCTTTCCTCTTTCGTGACTTATTTATGGCCAACCACAATAAAAACTTTCTTCTCGATTTAGTTCCTGATTTAAGTTTAAAAACGAAAAAAAAAAGAACCCGAAGCATTAGAATTCTTAGGCGTAGACTGCTTTGGCTTCGTGTTCCAAAATAATCGATTCTAGAATTTTAATGCAATTTTTCTTATCTTTGTAAGATGGTGCAAAATCAGATGGAAAATTTTATTATCTTTTCTCTTGGAACTTTCTGTGGAGGTGACCGCTCAAAACAAGATTATTTCTTTTTCTAGAAATAACATTGAGTTTATTTGAACAATGAGCTTCATGTGTAGAGTTGCAATTTATGTATTTTTTTTCAGAGATATATTACCAAAACAAAGCATTTATAGAACAAGTAATATGAAAAAAACATTTAAGTCGATTCCTCTACTCAGGTCAACAAAAAAAAATTATTTTAGTTTTACTTTTTTATTAAATAGTTACAATTAATATAAATATGTATATACATATGACAGAATCACAATATTAAGTGACAAAATAGAAAGCGGTTTTCCTTGCAATTTTCCATTTTCCTTTCTATATATGGTGTCCGACTATTTTTTTCAATTTGTTACTATTTAATCATTTCTTAAATTTAATTAATTCAGAAATTAGGCCATTACAGGTGGGATTCGAACCCACGGCCTTTGAGTTAGAAATTCTACGCTCTTTCTATTGCGCTACAAGGACACATGGAACTACTTTCCTTTCTATATATGCTGTTGGACTATTATTTTTGTTTGTTATTATTTATTCATTTTTTAATTTAATTAAGAAATTAATATTTGAAAAAACTGTATTAACATAAAGTGTCCCCCAATACAAGTTTAAAAAAATGTAGTTGAACTTGAATGGATGAATAGAAAGTATTTTATTAACGATTGAAAATTTGAACAAAATATATATATATATATATATATATGTCAGGTTTGGAATGTTTAACTTCAAAATTAAGTGAAGAATAATAAATAAAAATAGAGTTATAAAAAAATTACAACATGAAAGTTTATTATGAATCTGCATATAATTTTGCTCTGCATATAATTCAATCTAACCAACTTACAAATATTCATTTCCAAGTAATTTTTGTTCTCACTTTGATTTACATACCACATTTTTGTATGAGTAAGGAACACAACCAATTTTTATGTAAAAAAAAGTAAGAAAATTGTGAAATCAATTGTTAATCAGTGAATAAATTTGCTTAGTAATTTTATTATTCTCGTTTGTGTAAGAAAATAATTTTCAAGAATAAATATTAAAGTCTTACTCTAAGCGTAAGAATACAGAAAAATCAAAAATACGTACAAATTTTTTTAATAAAGTTAAACGTTTACTCACGGCAATTTTTTTCAGGCATTATTTTTTTTAATCACTGCATTGAAAATTAAGGAACATACATAATAAAACACTCAACTTTGGGAAATTTAATCTGTTCGAGCTAATTCATTAAATTGGTACTTTAAAATACTGTCAGTCCACAAAGAACTCAAATATTCTCATAATATGAAAAAACCGATTGACTTTTTTAACATAGTTTTAACTCTTAAAAATGCTAAAGAGCCAGAGGACACTAATATTTTACAGTACAAAATATTTAATTTTTAAAGATTATTAATTTTTTAAAATTTATTTACTTTTTAAACGCAAAAACAGCTCTTGTACAAATTTAATTTGAAGATATTCAAAGAAACAGTTTTTCTCTTTTCATTAATACGCAAAAATTTATTGCACAATGAGCATTTTGAGTGAGGTTTCGATTGAATGTTTTTTAAAGCATTCATCATAGAAACTCTGTGCAGCCATATATCTTGGAAGAGTGGATTTCAAAGAATATTCCTATTAAGTATCATCAGAGTATTCGTAAAAATGGTTATTCTATGTAATTTTAAAGTGAATGGTACTTATAAATACCATCCGTAGATAAAGGGTTAAGCAAAACTACTAAGAATGTGAATTAAGATATTTTAAAATTAATATTTGTTAAAAAGGAATATGCACTTGAATAACATCCAGTTTTTAGCATTATGTATTTAACTGATTCAAATACTTGTAGCCAATTGCATTTTTCTAGGAAAAAAAGGAATTTTAGAAACCTGGAAGAAGTTTTGCAAATTTTGAATTGATACCACACAGGAACAGCTCGATTCTACTGGTAACAAACCTAATAATTTTAAAGCATGGCCAAATTTCGATACTTAAGCTGACTCTATCTTCCTATCCTAACTTCCACACAACAGTGTTAGAAGATTTTGAGACCCAATTCTTTATAGATCGTTCGTAGATAAAGATTCGTGATATATTTGCCAGTTTTGTATACTTCCTATTGCGTAAATTGGTCAGAATTAGAAATCCAAGAAAATTTCGTTGAACATACCAATCATGAAACATTATAAGTATATATGTAGAATGTGAGTTATTTAATTAAAATTTAGTTTAAAAAAATAGGTTTAAATTTATAAAAATCTCTTCTGAGAGAGAGAGATGAAATTAAAAAAAAATATGGAATAAAATTAACAAGCAACATGTTTAACATTCGAATCAAATGTTTACTGTCGATTTATTTTTATATCAAAGATTATTATTTAAGATATTTAGTCTAATTATCCTTAAATAAAAAACAAATTGTGCTACATAATTGCCTTGGTAGCTGAATGGTCATGGGTATGGATATCCAGTTGACCGTTTACAAGTTTTGAATCCATTACAAAACCGCCTTGTGGAATAATGTAGGATGCTGCTCTTAAAATTGAACCAAATTTCAAAGTCTTCATGAAGTGTGGAAGTAGAGAGAATGAGGAGAACTTGTCACTCCATTTGAGTTGCTTGACCATGATTCAAATTACGAGATAAATTGCCAATAGTTTTTACGCCTTGCGAAAAACTGATTTTGAAGCATAAATTTGCTTTCAAAAGAACTAAAGCAAATTATGTGATTTTAAATAAAATAAACACAAGTATTAATTTACCAAAAACATTAAAGAAGTAAAGATTTTTAAACTACTTTTAGCTTAAATTCCTACTACTTAGCTCAATTTTATTTATTTACAGGTGATTGTTTTGACTCTAGGTTGGTTGGCTTGTCTTTTTTACTGGCTACAGTTAAAAATAATAACAAATGAAGCACAGACAAGGAACATAAAAAGAATTTTTTTAAGTCAATTCCTACTTAGATCAAAAAAGAAAAAATTTATTTTAGCTACTTTTTATTAAATGGTTACAATTAATATAAATATGTATATACATAGGACGGAATCACAATATTAAGTGGTCATTAATTTTTATTCATTATCATTAAAGTATCGTATTGTCATCCAAAACAATCGTGTATATAAAATTTTAGTTCAACTGAATTGTTTAAAAGGTGAGAAAAAACTTTTTTAAGTTTTGACACAAGTCGCCAAAAGGGTCGCTAAGTCGCCAAAAATGATGCCAACGTGGCTGTATTAGTAATTATTTTAGTAATTAGTTTTAATCAATTAATTTTTATTAATTATAATTAAATTATTGTATTGTCATCCAAAATAATCATGTATATAAAATTTCAGCTCAATGGAGCGCTTTAAAATGTATTTTATTAACGATTGA